CTGGGCCCCAGGCTGACCCTCTCTGTGCCTTAAACCATCCGCGGACATCTGGCCCGCTGGTTTTCATCCGCTGGCTAAAGTCGGGATTAAACCTTGCCCCACTGCTTTGTGCAGCCATCGAGAGTGGCGGGTGGCGAGAGACAGTGCCCCGAGCAGTCCTCCGAAAGCCCTGCTCCAGCAGACCAGGCGGCGTCTGGCGCCTGCCCACAAGGCCCGGGCCGTGTGTTAGGATCCCTGTCCCCGTGCAGACTGGGGACAGGGTGTACGGAGCCAGCGGCCATGCCAGGAGGCCCCAGTGATGCGTCTGTCTGTACGTCCCTGCTGCTCCAGCGCCCTGGGCAGCTCAGGAGGGAGAGCAGCATCCTCGGGACTGGTCAGGTGGCTTTGCCTGCCTGTCACGGTGGATCAGGGGGCCCGTCCCCTGGCAGGCACACTCGGAATGCTTCTGGAAGATTGAGAGAATGCCCGACACCGCTGGCTCTTTCTGGGGGCCCGGCCGCCCCCTGTAGTGGGCTCCAGTTACAGGAAGGGAGTTCATGGCATCACCAGCTGACAGACTGCCTTGCTTGCGTGTCAGCCGCCGGGGATGGTTAGGGAGTTAAAAGACGCCACCGCAGCAGAAAGGGCACTTTCCCAGCAGGCCGCGTCTGAACTTCTCTCGTGCCTCTGCAGCACCCCCAAGCCCAGCTTCCCTCCTCTGCAGTCCCGTGGCCTCGGCCTTGGCCAGCCTCAGTAATCCTCCCACGGCAGGAGGCGAGGCCCCTAGAATGGGCTGTCACGGACCCCTGACCAGGAGCACGCTGGAGGGCAGGGTGCGCAAGCTCCAGCACCCGCTGACCCTGGGCTCCTCCCTAACCCACCCCCGTGGGACACATTTCCCCCCAAGTCCCAGACTCGCTCCTCCCTGCCCTGTGACCCTCTGTGGCATCTAGAACCTGTCACAGCAGTGTCCGCCCTCAGGCCATGGAGCAGGTGGGCAGCTCCTGAGCCCTGCGGGAGCCCAGAGACCCTGCGCTCTCGCTCTTGGGGACTTCTTCTGACTCCGGCTAGAGAGGGAAACCCAAATAGGTGTTTCCAGTCCACGCAGGGCATTGCAGACAAAGGCAAGACTAGTTATTAATGTTTAACCAAACAATATTTTTAAATTCAAAATCTGCTTCCAATACATACATCAGTTCCTACATTTTCTCCACTGGAGGAAAAGTGAGCTGGAAATGCACTCTCACGCTCTTCCTGCTGCTGAGCAGAGAAGGAACTCAGTGCGCCTGAGCAGGGGTCTGAGCCAATGGGGCCCATGGCTGTGCTGGGGCACCCCAGAGCTCTGCAAGGGCGGCCTGGTCCCCTCAGCTCTCCTCCACACCCCATGGCCCACCCTGGCTCCAGAGACTGCCTCCCAAACATGGCCTGAACCTGATTCACCCCCCACTGACCACGAGCCCTCTCCCCACCCTCCCCCATCTCCTCCCCAACCCAGCTCCCCAGACTGAAGACCCCTGGCCTGTGCGCCCCCCCGCCCCCAGCTCTCACACTGCCTGTCCCTGGCCTCTGCCCAGGCTGGGCCCTCCACATGGAGCCTCCCACATGCACCTGCCCGGTTTTACCTGTCTTGTCCGCGTTACCATCATCTCACTAGTTACCCCCACACCCCCATCCCCTCCAGACACCAGGAACCGTGACCACCTGCCTTCCACAACTCGCTCGGAGCTCAGCACACGGCTGCACGCACAGCACCCACCCCAGCCCTGGTGAGTGCTGCCTGGCTGGCCGGGCTGTGCTGGGTCCTTTGGAAACGGCTGGTGAGTGTCACGTGGGCTCATCTTGGCGTGAGCTGCTGCTCAGGCCTCAGTGGCTGAGTACAGGAAACCTGCTCTCTGAAGTCAGCATTGTTAATGGATCCGAAGCTTTAAGGCTGTTGGTAAATGCAAGTTGAGATGGTTTCTTTAATACCTACTGACCTCTTAAAGTGGATACACAGGATTATAGCTTTTATTTAACATTTAGAAATTAGCAATTAGAATGAGAAAACTTTGCAAAGTCCTCTGTCTTTAAATCTGCCTTACCTAGTCCCTGTTCCTGATAGAAACTTTTGAATGTGTATTTATGTTTTGTTTCGTATATTTCTCACCAAGACAGACCAAAAATTACTGCGTAGAACTTGCAAACATACTTTCTAAAAGCCGCCCGCCGCCCGCCACCCCTGGGCTCTGTCCTGCGAGCTGTTCTGGTGTCGTGGGCTCCTGCCCTGAGGTCGGCCGGGCTGCCTGCTCTCGCCCTGGCCCTGTGGGCACCGGGTGCGAGCGGCCCTGCAGGACTGCGCTGAAAGGCTGGTGGCTCTTAGGGCCCAGAGGCTCTGCCCCTAAAGAGTTTTGGACTTGGGGGGCAGCGTTGGTGACAGGTGAGTGGGGCAGTGAGGTGAGTGGGGCTGGCTGCATGCGGACGCCTCCGACCGCAGTAGCTTTGTGCGAATCAAGTGGGCTGTAAGACTGCGGGACTCGCTGAAGACAGCCTTTGGGGCTGACACTGGGGCCCTGGATGCTCCAGGTGCCCCATCCCAGCAGCGTGCTTCGCTGGTTACCCAGACTGAGGAGAAATGTGGGAATTTCTTTATCCACCCAACAGGTAGATGGCCTTGGCGACAGCGGTCCATTAAATTCCAGGAGAAAAACCCGGCACTCCCAGTGCCCTGGAGTCCAAGTGCTGGGCGGCCCTTTCAGGTGCCCCTTGGTGTGGCTGCTAATAATGGAAGAAATCCTAGCTGGCTCTTTAAAAGTAGCATTTTGGGTATTTTTTTTTCCTTTCAAAAGGGAAAAATCCCTTCCGTCAGGAGGCGAGCTGGAAAGGCGGGCCCTGTGAGTTTCCGCATGAGTGGCCAGGACCTGAGTGAAAGGCGCCTGATCACTTCTTTAAAACCTGGTGAATGGGTGGCTCCGCGGAGGGTGTGGGAGAAAGGGCCCGGGGAGCGGAGGCACGGGCAACCCCTTTGTGCGCCCGCTCGGGGCTGATCAGATGTTTAGCCTTTGGGAGCCCGCCTGAAATGGCGAGATAAAGCAATTTTTTAAAAAGTTTCCAGCAGATGCCTTTGGGAGAAGGACCATGAATTTCCTGAATCGCGTCCTGGGGCGGCTACAATGGCCGTCTGCCCGCCCGAGCCCTCTCCCATTCACAGAAGCGCTTAAGCCACTTAAGCACATTAGCATCTGGATGGCGCCGACCTCCTGGGGACGCGCATGGGCAGGGTGGCCGAGCTCTGCTCCGGATTGTTCCGGCGCTTGTTCTAATCCGAGTGTTTGAAGGCGGCCAGACTGATTTGTGACACATGAGTCCAAAAGCCACTTTGGGGGCTTGACCCGCTGAGCTGGTCTGTGCTCTGAATGTCAATGGCCTGGCCTGGGGGGCGCTTTGGGGACGGTGCGGCCGCCTCCCCTGCCCCACGATGGGCAGTGCGTGTCCGTCGTCCCTGGCAGCCCAGGAGGGGATCTGTGTCTCAGGCTGCCTGCCAAGGTGCTGGTGGGGCTCGGCTCGTGCGGCAGGAGGGCTACCCTCTGAAGCCGGAGCTGCCCTGCAGGCCTGGCCCCGAGCCCGTGGGCAGCCGCACTCTGGAGCGAAGCATTTCTCAAAAGCAGGACTCCACCAGGACCCCTTCACAGAAGAGTGTTTCTAAACAGGAGAAATTAATCGTTTCGTTGCAGTGGTCTTTGTTTTCTTTTAAATAAAAATCATCTGGTCCTTTTTTTAAAAACAGCGTTGCTGAGGTATAATTTACATACCAGCCACAGTTCAGTGGCAGACTCCTCGCCACGCCCCGCCCGCCCCAGCCAACAGGGGCTCTGCTTTCTGTCTGGAACTGCCGATTCTGGGTGTGGTGTGTCAGTGGGCTCCAGCAGGGGGGCCGGCTGCCCACGTCCTCCCCACTCTGGACACGGCGTCTCACCATCGTCCAGGGCTTTCATTTCTCTCCCCGATAACTTGCCGGTTTCAGCGCCTCTATGGCACGTCCTCTGTTAGATATTTTCCTGAGTGCCCTCACTGTCCTGCGTTTTCATCCCTCTGGAGCCTAGAGAGCGGGCTGCACCGCGCTGCCCATGGGTGGCTCGGCGTAGCACAGCACCGTCTGCAGGCCGGGGGCTGCACCTGTGTCCTCCGTTGGGGAGGGGCCAGTTTACATCTCCCCACCACCCCATGATGCCCTTCCCTGCCTCACACTCAGGTTAAGATGAGAAGAATTTTCTGAACAACTCTGATTTAATTTTCTAGCCAATCACTTGGTGGCTTGATCTCTGACCTGGCTTGTTGCGTGGAGTGTGGCAGCTGTGCAGCCTGTCCCTGTGGAGAGTGACAGCGCTCGCTCCTCCTTCTCCCCGACGCTGCCCAGCGGTCACCCTTCCCTCAGTTGGCCAGCATCCTGCATCCGTGCTCCAGGCCCTCAGGCTGGCTTCTATTCTCCTTGGGTTGCCCCGACCCCTCCTGTGGCCTTCTGGGTCCTGTGCCACTTCCCCCGGCCCATGCTGGGCCTGATCCCACTGTAACTGGCCCCGCAGCTGGCCCTCCCTGCTCAGCTGTGGAAGCGCAGCTGCTCAGGCTGCTGTCAGTGAAGCCTCCTGCAGACCTCCCGGGTCAGGCCCAGGTCGGAGCTGAAGCAGCTCAGGGGATGAGCTCAGGGAAGCAGAGGTGGAGCGGGGGGGGTGAGGGCCACGCTGCAGGGGTCCCGCACTCGTCTAGGGCACGTCTGCCTTTGGGCGCTGCTGGTCAGCTCCTGCATCTGCCCGGTGGATTTGTGGACCCATTACATTTGGAGCTGTGCTTCCTGCCTTCTTCCCTTGGGGAGCTGCTCTGGGGTCCCTTGACTGGAGGTGTGAAATTGGGTTGAAGCAGTGAGGGAGCTGCCTGGAAAGGGCGAGGTCAGGGAGAGAGGTCAGGGCATGTGCGGACCGCCCACAGGCAGCCAGGCAGAGGACCCTCCCCTGGGACTGAGGACTGAGTTCCTTCTCTGTCTTTCCCAGACTCTCTGCACAAAGGCCACGATGCAGACGGTCCGTGCTGCCGACACCAATGAAGTCGTGAAGCTGATATTCCGCGAGTCAGACAATGACCGGAAGGTAAGCTCGCCTGTAACGGTGGGTGCGTGGTGCGCCGCGGGCTGCCTGTGGCCGTCCCTGAGCTGGGCCCTGCTCCACCTGCGCTGACGGCCCTTCGTTTCGTTTCGCAGGTTATGCTCCAGCTGGAAAAGAAGCTCTTTGACTACTCCCACCAGGAGGTCTTCCGAGACAACAACGGCACCGCGGTGAGTCTTCCTCGCAGACCGTGGCCGACTCCCTGGGGCCACCTGGGGTGACAGCACGCTGGGCCCCATGGCCTCTGCTTCCCTGGGCCGAGCTTCCTCGGCCTTGGAGCCCCTGCCCTCCTGTGACTTCTCTGCTCGGACAGTTCCTGGACGCAGCCGCCTGCCTCGCTGTCTCACTAATGGGCAGCCTGCCTCTCGCTCGGCCCTTAGCACTCGAGACCCTTCTGTGTGAGAGGCTAGGTGCTGGGTCTCCGGCTCAGGGCCAGCCCACAGAGGCCTGGGCGTCGTTTGGAATGGGGAGAAACCACAGTGTGCACTTGACAAGGCATCCCTGTTGCTTGGTGTGGGCACACATGTGTCTCTGTGCGTGTGTGCACACTTAAGCACGTGTGAATGGAAGTGAGGGCTGAAGCCACTCAGTGAAGACCTGGTCCCTGCCGGAGGCACCCGGCTGTGGGAACCCCACTCTGCGCTGAGCCCCTAGGCCTCCCTGGAGGGCCGTGTGCAGAAAAGCAGGGAGAGGTGGCCAGGCTCGCTGGACTGGTCACTTTTTATTGTGATCTGATTTGGGCCTGATCTTAGGGTATTTACGGATGCCCACTTTGTGCAGTGACAGTGACTGGTAGGTGAACTGTTGGCATGTGACCTCTGCCAATCTCCAAGGTGTGAACAAAGGCCCCACTGTGGCCAGTTCCAAGCTGACAGGGCAGCTATATTGAACAACCAGCTCCAAAATTCCTGAGAATTTAAGAATTGGCTCTTCAAGTGGGTCGGAGCCAGCTCTGGTCCCTCGTGACCCCCGGGGCTCCGGTGGTGCAGAGGCAGGTCCTGTCCTGGGAAGCTGCCAGGGGGTGCACATTCGAGAAGTGTGACGGCTGCCGCAAGGGCAGGTTGGGGACACCTGTGGGCTGCCTCACGCACAGCAGCTGCCTCTGCACGTGCGCCCTACCCCCGCTGCTTCCTGGGGGCGCTGTGCCCTCCAGGCCTTGCCACCTTCCCCATCTGAGGAGCCCACTCGCCCTCTACACTTCCAGCCCTGGTAGGGAGCTGTCTGTCCTGCTGTCCTCCGTTTTCAGCTCCCGGTCATCCAACCCCTGCAGTCTGGCCTCTGCGCCGCCAAGACCGTTGTCACGCCCTCGAGGACGTCTTCATTCCTAAGTCCAGGCACGGTGCTTGGCCTTCAGGCCCTGCCTCCCACAATGTCCCCAGAGGACCACACCTCTCATGGGTGGGCTCCCTGGCCCCTCTTTGTCCCCACGCTCAGCTCTTTGCACTCTGGGCTCCCCTGGGTGGGCTTGTCACCCCCTGGGCCTTGCGTTTCCAGCTCTAGACAACAACTCTGTCTCAAGTCTGCCTCAGGCCCCTCCGTGCGCTCACATTGGGCCCTGCTGGGTGCTTCAGCTCCACATCTGTGCCTCGGTTTCCCCTCAGGGTGTGAGCACCTTCCTCAGCTCTGTGTGTGCCAAGTGCAGAGAAGAAGGCTGGGCACATTGACAGCGAGGTGACAGACCGCCGCCATTCCAGGGACTCTGCAGTCCCCCATCCCTCCTTCAGAACCACATCTGCTGCCCCTGTCCCTGCAGCCCCCACATTGGCCCCCTGTGTTTCTGGTCTCCTCCTGGGAAGTCACGTCGGCGTTCTGCCCCCTATCAGCTGCCCGGCCTCCCCTCGCCTCTCACATCAGTCAGGTTCTGGGCCTAGACTCCCTGCCCACCCCGAGTCTGTCCCTTCCCTCCTCCGGGCCCACCGCCTCTTCCCTGGCGCTGGAGCCCCTTGCCGCCTCCTTCCTGCCACCCCTGCCCCTTGGCACACCCCAGCCTGAAGCCCAGCCGGGGGCTTGTTACAGGCCCAGGGGGTCAGGCCCTTGGCTGTTTCCCCCGGCCCCACCCCCCCGCCTCAGATATGGCCTGGCATCCTGACCTCCTCCCTGAGGCTGGGCTCACTGCTCCGTCTCCGTGCTCCCCTCCTGCCTCGCCTCCTTTTCGGGTGCCCTGCTTTACCCAAGCCCCGGCAGCACTCAGCTGCCTCTCCTGCTCTTCTGCCAGCCTGTCCCCTGTGGACTCTACGCTGGGCCCTGGCAGCTCATGTCTCGCCTCCTCCAGAGCCCCAGGCCGTGGTGAGGTTGACTGTCCTTCTGTGTCCCCGTGGTGCCCACACTCAGTATGTGTGTATTTACTAGGTCCCCTGAGACGGGAGGCTCCACAGGGCAGGGACGGCATCCCGCATGCTGTCTGCTGAAGAAGCTGGCATTCTGGTGACCTCAACGGGACCTGGAGCACTCGGGGCAGAGGAGAGGCCCCGGGGCAGGTGTGGGGACATGCCTTGTCTGGCTGTTCCCGTGTGGAGGTGAAGCCCAGGAAAGTAGGGGGCCGTCCTGTCCTGGGGCGGCTGCATGACCATCTGAGCTTGGGGAAGGCGGGCAGGGTGGGCTCTGAGGTCCCCGACAGAGACGGCGCCTTGAAGCAGGAGCAGTGAAGCCACCAGGGCAAGAAGAAGGCGGAGGCTGCCTGGGAGGAGAACAGTGGAACGGGGGCATGGCACTGGGCCCCCCAAGGAGCCAGGGTGTTCTGGAAGGAGCAAGGAGACTGGTGAAAACGAGGCTCCGTCAGTCAAAAGAGAAACAGGTCTGAGCCGGGACAGGCAGTGGAGGTGGAGAGGAGGCGCACATGCCAGAAGGGTGGGGAGTGAGTGTCACGTGTGGATGTGAGGTCCCCGTGTCCTCTCTCAGCCTTCGGACAGGGAGCGCGTAACTGCCGCTGGAAGTAACAAGTGCTGTGGCTGTTGGAGGTCATCTTCATTTCTGTCTATTTAGCATATGAAATTGGGGTTTTCTTTTTAAGATGGAGGGACATTAGATTGAACATTCAGGAGAACTTTGCAGTTTGATTCTAAGATTAAAAATACAGCAGAGCTGCGTCAGAGCCTCGATCTCCGTGTGGTTATTTTGGACAGCTCCCGTGCCCATGTCTGTATGGCGTCAGGAGTGGCGTGGAGAGAGGGGGTCTGGGGGGCCTGCCTTCGAGGGCTCTTCCCTGTGGTTTCTCCAGGGAGCCACGTGGGAGGGCAGCTGGGCAGCGCTGCCCACCGCTGGCACAGACCCCGGCGTTCAGCGCCTCGCGGTGCTGCTGCCTTCAGAAGCGGCCCGTAGGCTCACGCGGACGCGTTTTGTGCTCCTGCTGAGCCACCCGGCACTGGGAGAAGTCAGCCTCTGCGTCAGCCACACGCAGGCAGTGGAGTCATCCGGATCACCCACGGGGCACAGTAACAGCCTGAGGAGCCGTCGGAGGTGGTCTGACCTTCCTGGGGAGCCACGAGCACCACGGGCACTGAAACACACGCCCGTCCGCACGATGGATGTGCCTGCGCCCGACACGGCCCCAAAATCCATCGCATCCTTCATCAACCACCGGTCTTGTACTCGTCTGACAGAAATTTAATTCAAGCTGGCTCCTGAAAATAATTATTGTATTTTAAGAGTAGTAATCATTGGCCGGGACATGATTGAATGTGTCCATGCCTATTGACTTTTTCTATGATTTATAGCTTTGTTTAGTCGATATTCCCATCGAAATTGTATAATTAATTGTAAGTGTGGCTGTCAGGGCTGCAGGATGGAGTGCCCTGGTGAGGATTTGGAGAGATTAAATTTTCCGTGGCTGTCCCAGGGCAGGGCCTGGGAATTTTCACAGCGCTGGGCCTGTTGGATAGAGATGTTTTCTGTGTGTTTAGCGGCTGCTCTGGCTCAGGGCGCATTGATTTTCTGGGCTTCTTTCCTTTATCAGTGAGTGTCTCTGCAGTGACAGTGGAATTCGGGCAGCTGGGCAGATCCTGACAGATACATATGACCAGCCAGCTGCTTTATCATTGTCCACACACGCCCTGCGCTGTTTTTCACTTCGTAATCAAGAAGAATGTTTAAGATACATGTGAAATTGGTTATCATGTTTGTGAAAAATCTCAAAGAGATACAAATTATCATTTCAACAGAAATGCAGCATAATTTCTCCTCAGAAACGTCTCCGGTCCGCAGCCCTGCCTCCACCCCCATCATTTCGTGTGGATGCGGGACGTGAGCAGACTCCCCAGGCCGTGGAGCCCTGGGTGCTGACTCCTTGCTGGTCCCGCAGAGGGAGGGTCCTGCCAGCCCGTCAGAGCAGCCAGACGGCAGGGACAGGTTGGCCTCCCGCACCCGCCCTCCCCCAGGCAGCCCGGCTTGGGGTCCGATGGGCTGGGCTGGGGTTTAGAAGTAAAAGCTGCCGTGCGTGGGCCGCAGCTGACACCATGCAGGTTTGCATCTGTGTGGCTGTGGGATTAACCTTTGCATTCGACCAGCCAGAAGGTTCAAGAAGGTGAAGATGTCCCTTAGGAGGGCGACGATATCCATAGCCTTAGCCAGAGTGTCCAGCACGGGCCTGCCACATGGCAGAGGCTTAGTAAGTGCACTGGATCAAAATGAAGAAATACTCACGCTTGAGAACATCTCCATGTTAACAGACGGGCACGTTAGCACCAGGTGCCTTAGGGGCAGGCCACCAGAGGAGCCTGTTTCGGCACAGGTTCTGACTGCTGGGGAGGCTCCCAGGGGCCCACCAAGGCCTTGCGGGTCTCTTTTGGAAGCTGATTTAAAACAGGGCAGTGTTCAGTAAGTGCAAACAAAAGCCACCCCCACACGTGTGCTCACGCATACACCTGGGCACCCCTGTGCAGCTGCGCACATATGTCCAAGTGCACACACACAACGCGCAGAAGCCGGTGTGGCCTGCTGTCACCTTTCCCTCCAGTGTCCTCCCGGGTGTCCCTGGAGCTGGGCATGGGGCCTGGGGACCATCTGGCAGTGAGACACATGGCGCAGGCGTCAGGATGATCAGCACTGACCCTTGGCTCCGTCAAAACTTAACAAAACAAAGTAGACACGTGTGCGTGTCATGTACACGTGTGTGCACACACGTGTGTGGATGAAACCCTTGCCAAAGAGTGGAAATGGGGTTCTTTGTCCAGGGCCCTCTCATGGAGGGCTCGAGCAGGAGCCCAGGGTCTGGTCCATGGCCAGCAGCCTTTCATTTACAGAGGAGGGTTTTGCATCTTTGTAGTAAATGTGGGAAAAGAACCCACTTTCAGAGAAAGAATCAGGGTGTCCAATTTGAGTGGTTTTTGCATTTGTGTAAAGAAAGTACCAGCCCTTCCCCTGGGTGCCGCTCGGAGCCAGGCCCTGCTCTGGAAACAGACTGGGCACGGACCCTGTGGGGCTCTCAGGCCAGCAGGGACAGAGCAGAAGCAGGCGGTCAGCGCCTTGGTCAGGCATGAGCGAGCACCATGAGCAGCACCGCAAGGGGCGCAGGAGGGCCCAGCTGGGGGTGTCGGTCAGGAGGGAGGGACCCTGAGTCACCACCAGGGGCGGGAGGCACTGGGGGAGCAGCAGGCAGGCTCCCTCACCCCACTGCCTCCTGGGGCCAGGGCCACACTGGGGGCATATCCGAGTGGGGAGGCTGTCGAGGGTGGAGGGCAGCCACAGCCCTGACGGAGCTCGCTCTGGCCGTTGTGAGTGAGAGGCTGGGGCTGGGCGAGTGAGGCCCGGACCTGCTGGCTGTGGCCAGGCTGGCCAGGGCCAGTCACTGAAGCTGTCTGCTGTCTGCATCTTCTCTGGAGATTGGGGCCTGGGACATGTCCAAGGTTGTTCTGGGAGTTTCCCTCAAAGGGTAAGGAAGAGAATTAAGCATCTTCCCAATACCTTGTAACTTGCGAGGTGACGTTCTGAGTATTTGTATTTTAAGAGCCTGGCTCCTTGTGTGCTGTGTCCTGTCTCTGGACACTGTCTCTTGGAAGGCAGGCCCCACATCCACTGTCACCCCTGTAAAGGTTCCTGCACGTGAAGGTCCATTGAAGATGAGCTTCTGGTCCCATATGCAAGAGCCCGGAGATACGGCACAGGCGGATGGACCTCAAGAACACCAAATAATTGAATAATTGGTAGAAATTATAACGTAAGAATATTTTGAAATATTAAAAATATGAAAGAATCAGAAACATAAATACCACACCTTGGAAAAACAAGCAGATTAAAAATATACAGGACTGTGGGAGTGCGGTCTCCGGAGTGGACACGGAGCTGAGGAGGAGCAGAGTCAGCCCGGCGTCTGCGGGTGCGGCGGACAGGACTGGGAGGCAGACTCCAGCGGGAGGCGTGACGGGGTGGCCTTTGGAGAGCCGCTGACGGAACCATGGGAGACGATCGTCAGGAGCAGGGCACGTCGGAGCGAGACGGCAGACACCACGCCTGAGAAAAGTGTCAGGTCACCCTACAAGAATGACAGTGGCAGCCGGCTTCCCACGCGGTGACAGAAGCCGGATGGTAATGGAGTCATTTGATGGAAGAGCTGAGAGCCCACGCTCCCCACCCAGAGGTCTGCAGCAGCTGCCTGGTGCTTTAGGAATGCCGGCTGGATTAGCGTGAGTGACACTCACGCCAGGATAGAAAGTCGGCCCCCAGCAGACCCGCAGGACCAGGTGGGAGCTGCGCTCAGGAGCGCAGGCCCGACAGAGAAATAATGACAATGCTGGCGTCAAGTCTTGGAACATGGAAAAGACTGCGAGGTGTTCTTGGTGGACACGCACGTGTGCAGTGATCACACAGAACTTCCGTCGCAGCTGGGTCACCACTGGGGGAGGAGGCAGGTGAGCAGGGTCGGTGGGGTCCTCACAGGACTCACTGTCCCAGGAGCGTTTCCTCTCCTCTAAGAGTCCGAGGTAAATTTGGGAGAAATGAGAAGATCTGGCAGCTCCGGGTGGGTGAACCACGGGCACTTTCACCATCTGTACTTTCCTGAACGCTTGAAACTGTCACCACAAATGGAAGGAAGCTGCCGGTGTTGTTTTGGTTAAATGGCCGATTAGCCGTGGCCACTAGAACTCCACAGTGGTCCTCTGGATGCCTTGCACTGGTCCTTTCCAGAAAGGCCAGCTCCTGACCTCAGACAGGCCACTCCCCTTCTTATCGATTGCCACGGTCAGAGCCTCATCAGCATCTGCCTGGACCCGCAGCCTCCCCGGCCCCACCTGTCAGCAGCCCAGGCCCCACACTGCGTTCAGGGGCCTGTTCTGCCTCTGATCTGGGAAGGCTGAGAACTCAAGTCTGGAATGATCTAGATAAGATACGTGCTTACAGGCCTTTGTGTGTGTGTGTGCATGTGAATGTGTGTCCACAAGTACACACATACATGTAAACACATGTGTAAGCACAAATACACTGCGTGGGTGCTGTACTGGTCCAGACCCAACATGCATGCCCCACTCTTGAAGGTGCGTCTCCCTCCCTGGAAACTTCCTCTCCATCTGTTCCCAGCCCCACTGAGGAGCTGACTTGGGGACTTTCCAGAAGCTGCTGGCCTGGAGTCCTCCCTGGGTGTGGAAGCAGGCAGGCCGTTTGGTGCTGTGAAAGCCAGGCGGCTCTTTGTCCCTCACCCCCAAGCCTCCCCTCTCATCCTGCACCCCCAGCCCTGGCCCTGCACCCCCTGCTCCCCCACCCCAAGCACCCAGCCCCGGGGCTGTCAGGGCAGTACTGACTGGGGTAGGTGTGCCCTAGCATTTCTCACTAGCAGATGTGGGCTCAGGGGTCTGGCCCCCGACCCTGGTTCTGAGCCTTGCCAGGCGGGGTCTGAGGCTCTTTGTGACTCTTGTTCTGAGTGTCCAGGAATGCACACGAGATTGAAATTAGGCAAGTGTGTCTGAAATGGTCCCATTTACTCAAAAGGAGCATTGGTCTACCCCTCCCAAACCGTGTACAGACGGCTCCTTCTGGCGGAGACTTCAGTTGTCCCTCCGCCCCACCCCAAGGAGAGTGGCCTGCCGGGTGCCGCTGGGTGTCGCCGGGTGCAGGTGGGTGTCGCGGGGAGGGCCGTGTGCAGGCAGCTCAGGTAGCAGCCTGGCACAGGGGTAATTACTGCTACACAGCGCTGCTGACTGCACGCTTCAGGAGTGACAGATGAGGCGGCAGAGAGGGGAGGATGTGGTGTGGTTTTGAGGGGGGTCTCCCGCACAGCCGAGAGGGGACATGATTAATGAACACATCCCAAGGGTGTGTATGGTGATAGCTCAACAGCCTAGTGTGGTCAGAGGTGCTGCCGGAGTGCCCCTTTCCTTCTGTGGGCACCGTGCCTGTTGGGCTTGTCTCTACAGAATGCTATGGAGCCAGGTTGTGCCGTCTCCTCTCCGTGCAGGGGCCAGCGCTCACACCAGGCTGGCTGCTGGAGTCTCACCTGTGTACGCACTTGGGCCATTTGTTATCTTCCTGTGCAAGGTTGACGTTGCTTACTCTCTGACTTCATTTGGACAGAACGGGAGCTGTGTCCCCTCTGCTGGACGCTTCCTTAGTGGGGGCACTGCTGTGTCTGCTGGACGGTGTGGTTTCAGCAGAGCGAGGCGGCCCTGCGTGGCTGGTCAGCAGCAGGCAGTGCAGGTTCCAGCACCAGCAGCAGAGGAGCTGGAGGCCGGAGCACAGCCTCATGGGCAGAAGGGCCTGCTGGGCACTCATGGGTCTCTGGAGGCACGACAGGGCAGTTCCCAGTAGGCAGCCTGCGCGTGGAGCACACGATGTGCAGTCCAGATGGGCGCTTGAGCCACGCATGTTTCCCGGAAGTTGCAAGGGTCCCTCCCGGCTGCAGATGGACCACCACAGCCCCGGGGACTTCTCGGTGCCCCCAGTGAGGTGAACCAAAGTGACTTTATTTTCTTCTGTTTGTTTTCTTTAGCTCTTAGAATTTGACAAAGAGCTGTCTGTCTTTAAGGACAGACTGTATGAACTGGACATCTCGTTCCCTCCCAGGTAAGGAGCCCCCGCTTGCTGGACAAGCAGGTAACAGTACCCCCTTCAGTGCACCCCCGTGTCCCGGTGCAAACCACACCTCCTCCTGCCCTTTCTGGCCTGAAGCAAGCAACCTGCTGAGAGCAATAAGTGTCTGTTGTCTTCTTGTTTAAAAAAAGATAGTTTTTCCAATATGCATAATATGGCCTTCTCTGATCAGCATCCTAGGGGCCCACAGAGGCAGCCCCATGTTCTGGATCTTTCTGGGAATATCGGCACCTAGTGGAGGGCGGTGTCTTGGGGGTGGGCTCTCCGTTCTGTTTGTCTGTTTTTGTCTTTCTCAGGCACGTTTCCAGAACCTGAAACCTGCAGCAATAACAGTTATTTCCTCTAAGCTGCCCGGGGGTGCAGCCCAGACATGCCCTGGGTGCAGAGGGGCGTGGGGTAGAGAGACTGTTAACAGAAAGTGGCCTGGGGAGGGCACCCCGAGGACCAGGACTCCTCCCCGGCCTTCTCCTCCTCTTTCAGATCCCGAGTAGAATTCTTTCCTCTGGGGTGAAACATGGACCTGGCCACGTTCGGGGAGACTTTCTAGAGCAGACAGGACGGCGCTGTACCCCAAAGACATCCCCAACAGCAGGGCAGGCTTGTTGCCGTTTGCTTTGGGTCAGCCTGGCAGTGCACGCTCAAGGTTCTCGTGTCGGAAGGAGTGGTTCTGTGTCTGGAGCGCACTCGAGAGCCCAGTGGCCTCTGATGCTCTCTGAGAGGACAGTCCTCGATTCCCCTGCCGCGTTTCAGTGGTCAGACGTGTGGCGACTGGAGGGGCCCCACATCCACTGGTCGTGGGGCTTCCTGCAGAGCATGGGCCATGGGCCTGTGCCCTTCTGACCTCAGGGCCAGGCCCCGGCTGAGACTCGGAGCTAAGGGTCAGCACCCAGACCAGTGGCGCCAGTTCCAGGGACCACAGAGGCAGGGACTGTGGGCCCCACTCGGCCTTCGGGGCTCCTGGCTGTGCCTGGCCAAGGTCTCGGACGCCCCTGAACGTGTGGCTCAAGCACAGGAGCAGGAGGCGGCCCTCAGCACTGACCGTCCAGCGTGCTGACTGAGCACGTCTCCCTCAGGCTCCGGCGCTGGTTGAGTGCACAGTAAAATGTGCAGTGAGATGTGCTTCCACATATGTTTCAAGTCAGAAGACTTTCTTAGGGATTTCTCAGACTTCCCTCTCGGAGAGTGGCAGGCCAGATGTCCTAGAGGTCCCTGTTTGAAAAGCTCGAGGCTGTCTTTCTCAGGGCTTTGCTGAGCTGGCGAGGAGGAAGGCGGCTTGGGGGCCACCAAGGGCTGATGGCACGACCCTGTGGACACGTGTGCCCTAAGCTGGCATCTGCCTCTTGAGTTTCTCCCAAATGCTGCAGCCCTGAGGGTCACCCTGGCCCAGAGCACAGAGGATACAGACAGGACCTGGCCAGGCCAGGAGCCCACCACCAACACTGGGCAGCAAAGAAACCTGCCTGTCCACACCCAGGCACATCCAGAGGGTGGACAGACAGGTCAGCGCTCACAGCCACGTGGTCTAGCAGAGGTCTGGGCTGCCGGTCCCTGTGCAGCTGGCAGAGGAATGCAGGCCTCCTGAGCAGGTGGCTGTAACCGGGCTCTTGGTCAAATCCCACCAGTTTGTCTGGGATCTTTCTCATCCCTGAATGGGGCAAGGGGATGCTTTGGTGCCAAGTGGGAGGAACTTCAGAGAGCTGCCTGTGTGTCAACGTTGGGGTCTCCTGCCCTGTTCACGAGGATGCCTAGGGCAGGCTGTATGCACAGAGAGGCCACCCTGCCCCTGGTTTGGGACAGACCTGCTGGGCAGAAATCTCTACAGAGTTCAATTGGTTCATGGGGTAGGAGAAAGGACCCCAGAGATGTCCCCGCCCTCATCCCAGAGCCTGTGAAGGTCCTGTGTGATGTGGCAACAGGACTTTGCACATGTGATTGAGGTGGGTCCCTTACTGCAGGCCTCATGTCCTGGGCCATCCGGGTGGGCCCAACCAGTCGGTGGCCCCACGCAGCAGGGGGTGTTCTGCAGCTGGAGGCGGGAGCCGTGAGCAAGGGCAGTGGGAGCAGCCGGGAGAAGGCCGTGCTGGCAGCCGGGAGGCTCGGTTGGCTGGCTGATTTAGTCACCAGATATTCTCCCTTTAATTTGGAAATACCGTTACAAGTTTTCTGAGATGGATATATGAGGAGAAGAAAGGGAAAAGTGTTCAGACTAAACATTGGCTTTCCAACTGGGGGACCAGCTCAGAGAAAGATGTACACTTGGCCTCTCGGCCCAGTCATAGCACAAGCCTGTGGTGGGAAGCCCACCAAAGGCTCCAGAGGCCATTCTGCCTCCCCTGCCTGGTCACCCCTCCCCCTTCCCTTCCCCCACTTACTGGTCACCCATCCCCCTCCCCCACTTCCTAGTCATTCATCTCCTCCCCCACTTACTGGTCATCTATCCCCCTTCCCCACTACCCGGGTCACACCCAACTTCCCCTCTCCCTTGGGTTCTGTTGTATTTTTAAACCATGCTTGTGGCATCAGTTAGCATTCATAGCCCCTAGGGGTTGCATGAGGGGTTGGAGAGCTGTGTCCAGCAGTGGGAGCAATGTACACAGAAGCCCAAGCCAGAGATCAAAGGTGGCAGTTAGAGGTGGCGGTTGTGTGGTTTAGTCCCTGCCCAGGTCTGTTCCCTCAGTCTACCGCGGAATGTAATCTCAGGCCTGTTCTCTGTGTGTGTGTGTGTGTGTGTGTGTGTGTGCAGGAGTATGAGCTCCTGTACACACATATAGATGTGTGCATGTGTACATGGGATTTGTGTACAGAGGATTGTGTGCAGGATTGTATTCACTAGTATGCACTCTGTAGGCACATGTGCATTTGTGCATGTATGTGGGCATTGCATAGGTTGTGCATGTGTTTATATGTGTGTGCACATGTGTGTAGGTATATGTGTTCATGCATAGGTATGGGAGGGTGTGTGCAGAATCTATGTGAATGGGTTATGGACTAATTGTGCATGTGTATGTGCAGCGCATGGGTTTGCATGTGTGTATACAGTGTCCACACATGCTTGGATGTGTGTATGTACATGGGTATGCATGGGTTTGAGTGTGTGTACACGGCATGTGTATACATTTGTGTAGCAGAGTTGTTACATGCATACGTGGTTGTACATGCACACATGTAGGTATGTGGGTGTGTGCACATGTCTTTGGGTGTGGGTTATGTGCATATGCATGGTGTGTGTACACTTGGGCCTGTGTGTGGTTTGTGCATGTATGTGTGTGTATGTACATGGGTATGTGGAGGTGTGCATTGCAAAGATGTGGGTGTGTGTGTGCATGAAGTGTGTGCACATGAATACAGTATGTGCACGTGAGCATATAGGTATAGTATGTGCACGTGAGCATATAGATGTTTGCATGTACAAGATGTGTACATGGACATGTGTGCATGTGCAAGGTGTGTGTAAATGAGCACGTGTGTGGTTTTGCATCTGGTGTGCCACACATGAGTAGGTGTGTGCACATATATGCATATGGGTATAGGGGTGTGTGTGTGCGTGCCTGGGTGTGTGCATTGCCTGGGCGGGGTGTGTATCAGCGGTGCGCAGTGGCCAGCACAGAGCAGTCTCTCACTGTTGGAAGCAGTTGGAAACCACTGACCTGCGTGGTTTCCCTGCAGACCCTCTCTTGGAGCAGAGGGGTAGAAACCCCCGGGACGCAGCCTGAGGGAGCTTAGTGACACAGCCGCCCTGCTCCCGCTCAGGAGAGGCAGTGCCTCGGGCTGAGTCGTGGGAATGAGGAAGCACTTGGTTGGGGGAGGAGCTTTCTGGAAGATTGGCAGGCCTGAGGCACTGAGTCCTTTCTCCCAGCTCCTTCCTGTCCTGTGCTCCCAGCGTCTCCTCACCAGGGGTGCGATGTCCCTGCAGGAAAGGAGGCAGGAGTTCCATCCCCATATGCCGCGGCCCAGTGCTGGGCACCCCAGGATGACCACGGGGGCATTCACCACCTTCCTGGAGGGCCGGGTCCCACCACTGGGGTCTCAAGCAGACTACTGGACGTTCGGGCTGCCCTGAGGCACCACAGGGACCCCGTCTCACTGGAGGCTGTCGTCCCCCAGTGCCAGGATGCCCAGGGAGGGGGTTGAGCCCCCACTGCCCACAGGCTGCTGCCTACTGACCACGAGGCCACTCTCCTGCTCGGAGCTCGGGTGAAGGCTAGCGCCCCTGGGAAGAGGACAGACGTGCTCACCACTTGCACATGTGGCTTCTGGACTGCAGGACACTCCAGCTTGGGTTTCTCCACGCTCATTCCCCTTTGAGAGGGGTTTCTGAGGTCACAGCAGAACCTGCCCGGTCCCTCCATCAGAAGGGCTGGCATTGAAAGTCGCTTTGGGGACAAATCCCAGAGGACCACAGCTCTCCCCCATTTGGTGCCGGGACCCCCTGATGCGCTTCAGTTACTGGGGACCCAGAGGACTTTTGTTCCCGTGGGTTGTGTCTGTTGATAGTGTACCATAATGCACGAGTATTTATTAATTCATTTTAAAATGACCACAGTAAACCCATTACGTGTTAACATAAATAACGTTTTTATGAAAAAATAACTATTTCCCAAACAAAAAATAATTTTCGAGGAGAGTGGCTCAAACTCAAAGGAGTGTTTCAGACTCAAATAAATTTTTTTGAAGTTCAGCTTAATGAAGGATAGCCCGAGTGTCGCATCTGCTTCTGCCGCGGCCCCGTCGTGGTGGCTCTGGGCAGAGCGTGTGAGGCGGAGCCGGCCTCGCAGGCATGTGCCTGGGAAGGGGTGCCGACAGCCGTTGTGGGTGCTCCTCCCCTTGAGAAGGATGATGCTTGAGAGTTGGCTGCAGTGTGGACCTGAAGCCAGCGGCGGGAGCTGTTCTTGGCCTTGAGAAAGGGTCTTTCGCTGTTGTGCACGACTGGTGACGTCACGATGGTCCTTCAGAAACCCTGGGTCGCCCAATTG